AAGAGTCCATGAGGTCAATTCACCTGGCCAAGTGGACAAGTTCTCCAGTGGGCATTGGAGCATGCCAGCTCTCCATTGCATTCACTACTACAAGAGACCTGGAGTACCTGCTGCACCTCTGGAATCAGGGTCTCGTGCATTCCTCCATCAAGGTGCATCTTGCTGTCATCTCCACTTTCCAGGAGCTGGTGCAGAGGCAGACGGTGTGTTCCCACTATGACTTCCTGGTTCCTGAAGGTTCTGTAGTGGCTGTAGCACCAGGTAAGGGACCCAGTCCTGCAATGGGCTCTTAACCTGGTTCTCTCCAGACTCCCTGCTCCGCCTTTTGAACCACTTGGTTCCTGCTCCCTGTCCCACCTGTTCTTGAAGCTGGCATCCCTTGTGGTGATAATCTTGGAGCTCAAGGCACTGATGTCTGACTCGCAAGGGCCAGAAGGCCTCACCTGGCCTTCCTGGTAAAGATTGTGGTGTTCTTTCATATGCCTCAAGTCTCACAGGACAGTGGAGCAGAGACATCTGCATACCCTGGGCATGCAGAGAGTTCTGGCCTTCTCTTTAGAGCATACCAACAAGTCAGCGCTACTCTTGCCACTGCAGACTGCATGAGAGGTCTGCTGGTGTCATTGCAACAGATCTCTAAGTGGATCACTGTGTATATATGCACATACTACCTGCCATGTACTTCCGCCTCAGATTGTCCGAATCCTCTCCAGAGCTCAGGCATTCTTGGCAGCTTTCCTGGTGCATGTGGCCATCCAGGACATCAGCAGAGCAGTGACCTAGTCCTTAGTGCATATGTTCACATGTCGCTATGCAATCACTCAGCAGGCTAGGGATGACCCTGGGTTTGGCAGAGCTGTGCTTCAGTCAACACAGTCATGAACTCCTACCCACCTCCAAGGGTACTGCTTGGAGTCACCTACTGTGGAAAGGACAAGAGTAAGCACTTGAAGAAAAGACAATTACTTCTTCCTTAACTAGTGTTCTGTAAGAAGAGTTGCTTGTGACTATTCCACAGCCTGCCCTCCTTCCTTACTGTCAGAGTTTCTGGCAAGGAGGAACTGAGGATATGGGGAGTGCACAGTGCCCTTTTATGCTGCACCATGGAGGTGCCACTCCAGGGATCACTCGGAGCACTCCCATATGAGTACTGCTAAGGGAACACTTCCAGCACTGGTGCACATGGTGAACGCATACAACTAACATGGAAAGAGCAACATATCTCAAAGAACACCAGTTACAGGAACAGGTAACGCCCCCCACCTTTTTTTTTTTTAAACAATAGTGGTTGTAGCTCAGGGAAGAAATGAGGCATAACAAAAACCAGATAGTTGAATAGGATCTTTTAATTGCAATTCTTTAAAATGACCACTTTAGCCTAGAAACACATTTACATTTTTTGAAAGAATTCTGTTCCAAGACTTAAAAAAAAAATAGTTGGAAAAAATAATAGACACATTTAGAAGGAAGACTGACTTCTGAAGAATTCATGTGGGAGAAACTGTTTTGAACATATCTCTAGCATAACTTCTTTCTCAACTTTGAGTTCATATAATGTTTCTTCAGTGAGTATAGCCAGTGTTTTGTAACTTGAAAATACTGTACTATTGTGAGCAGTTTATTCAGACTGCTTCATATATTAATATTTCTAGATCAAGGGCAGAAGGGACGTTGTGATCATCTAGTCTGACTTGCTGCTTAACACAGGCCCTAGAATGTCCTCAAATTAATGCCTGTTTTAACTGGATGCTTTCCAACAGTTGCACTAAAATCTCAATGTAAACATTTCCTCCATTTTTTAAAATATGGCTACTTTCACATCTCACCAGTATAGCCTTCTCTCTCGAATGTGAGATCATGGCTTTTTGGGGCATTTATAAAATGTTTTTTTATAGTTCCCAGTTATTCATAATTTCCTGTTCAAATTCTTTCTCCTGGTTCAGTTAGCTCATAATTATTTTCAGCTTTGTGAAAGTGACCATTTTAAAACTCTGTGTGTGTATATTTAATTTATTTGATTTATTACTGGATTGGATTTTTTTCTGTTTGCACATAACAAATGTAATCAAGTCATACTCGTTAGCCCCTATGAAACCACTAATATTAATTCTGAAATCAATTCCTGTTTATCTGTCAATATGAGTTTAGTATAGAATAGTCCCCAAATTGACTGGAGTTAGGAAATTGTAATCTAATACTTTTTAGGAATTCTGAATGTTGGTTTAATACCGGAAGCATAAAACCTCCAGAATGTCATTCAGACTGCAGTTGCCTATGATAGTGCATTTTCCCCTGTACTTAAGGAGATGGTCATCCTGTTAGCCAGTTCTCGGGGGGGGGGGGGGGGGGGGATTTTTGTTGTTGTCTGTAGCAGACAGTAATTAGTGACCCCATTTTGTGCTTTATTTGTTAAGATGTTGATCTATAAGCATCCAAGGTCACTTGCTTCTGAGTGGTCAGTGACTCAGAGAAAAGAGTGCTACTTCCTCTCCTCCCTGCACATTCAATCCATCTTAAATAGCTTATAACCACTGATTTTTAACATTCCAATCATGTCAGTCTTCCTACCAATTTTCAGTAATACCAACTTGGCAAAATTTAAGCTCATAAATGACCAATTTCAGTTCCTCTTATTACCTAGGCTCCTGGTGTTCATGTGTAAACAACTAAAGACTTTCTCTTTGCATCCGTGGGTGCCTTGATTTTGTTCTTGGTGCCTTGATTTTGTGCCAAATGCCTGCTTGTGTGTTTCTGTTTTTCACCCACCCTGTTAGTTTAATGTCCCCCTAAATGATCTAACCAGCCCTATTGTCAACTAGAAAATAGGTTCTCCTATGGAGATGGAGGTCCTCCAAATTACATAGCCCGTTATTTCCATAAAGAATGTCAATGTCCCACAAATTAAACCCTTTATCTTAAACCCAAGAGAACAGATGTAACAAAGTCCCCTTGATTCCCTCCCTGAACCACATGGGCTGAGGGTGGATGAATAGCACTCTTGGATGCAGTCAGCTTTATAGTTCCACCCAATTAGAGCCAGGAACTAGTCCACATTTCAAGCAGGATCCACAACTGCTGCTTTTTCCCGTTTGAGCTACTGTATGGATATTCTTTCTTCTCTGTTTAGCTGATTAGTCTCTTCACCTCTAGCTGCCCTCTCCCTGCCTTCCTTGCTCTTGTCAATCCTTTCCATCCATCCCATCATTTTCATATGCCAATCATAAACTGACACAGCCTGCTGGCGGGGGCGGGGATGGTACTATCAGGGCTTCTCACCTTGGCTCCCAGCCAGTAGGGGAAAGTATTCTCGAAGAGAGTGAGGGGCAGCTGAGCTCCTATTGTGAAATTGACAAGATTGCCAACAGACAATGTAAGTAATGCAGTGTCCATACATAACTATGTCAACCTAACTACACCGACTTAAGCCTTATACTTCTCGTGAAGGTGGAATTATTTTGATGTAGTAAGGCTTTTACATCGATGGAAGGAAGGCTGTGGTGTAGACACTAACATAGTACGGTCAACATAAGCTGCCTTACAATGATCTAATTGTGTAGTGTAGATAAGTCCTCAGAACTGATAAAGTACCATTGTTTGGAATCTCTGCAGGAGGTCCGAGCCTAACTATCATCTTGCTCCTACAGGTGGTATCTCTGTTTGTAGTGTAAAATACAATTTCTAAGCACTGTGGGGAAACTATGCAGTAGACACTACTGTATGTGTTCTGTGGATGAATAAAAGTATCTTGGCGCACATCAGTCTATTCAGCAGTCCCATTTCCCCTCTCAACTCCCTACAAAAAACCCACCCTCTAAACTAAAACATCCAATTCTGTCTCCATAAATGGGAAGTATGCAGGAAAAATTCAAACTGTACCTTGTCCTTCATTTTTCTGTATTGTGGGAAAGTGTGGGAAAGTTTTGCACTCTGCCAATTTTCTGTTTCCTTCCCTTGATACAAGAGAGGCTTTGCTAATGAGAAACAAAAGGCTTTTAGATATATGCTGTTCCCTCCCCCATCTATGTAGTGAAGTGGCTTATGTGAAAACTGTATTAGAATTAATTGGGAAAAACCTTCTATAGAACTGTCCCTCTAAGAGAATAAGCCCATTTATTTCTCTTAATTGGGGGGAAAATATCAGCAGTCAGAAATTATGGTGACTGTTCATTTTTGTTTGATTCAGGAACTAATTAGAATTTTTAAACAGTGAAGCTTTTCTATCTTTTACTAAAGGAGAGGAATATTGTTCTGGGGTATTTTTGCTTTTCTAGAAAACATCATTTAAACTTTTTTTTTTTTTTTAAGAGTTTTGGCTCCAAACAGTAGTTTTCAAGACATCTGGACGCTCTATAACTTCCTAATGAGTAATGAGGTATGAAATTTCTTTTTGAAAATCTTTAATAGAAATGTATAATAAAGACACATTTCATACTCCAGGTAAATGTACTGAGGACCCTAACTGGTACATCCATGTTCCAATAGAGCTAGAATTCTGAAATTTGGCTATTTTTGGCTATTATTGGTCATTAATGTCCAAAGGGAAATAAATATGTACTTGTTTCTACCAAGGATAATCAGACTTTCTAATGGAACTCCAGTCATTCAGGTACTCTGTTCAAGCTGAAGCCTTGAAGTTTAGGACACTTACTTATTATGAACTCATTACTAGGAAGTTAATGGTCACCAGTCTAATAATTTACAAAAATGATACTAAACCTGTTGTGTAGTCATGTGGGCCTTGAGGCTTTAAAGGTAGAAAAATTAAGGTAATCTGAGATCACCAGTTGTATTTATAGGTCTTCAGTAAAAATGTGTTGACTGTGAGTGCCCGTGGTGTTAGCCATTTCCATGAGTGATGGCACTAGTTCACATACAAAACAGTACTTCTAAAAACAGTATTAACCCAACACACTAAGAAATCAAACTGTGTCATCTTAGTGTATAGCTCTACATATATATTGTATGCAAGGAGTAAAATATTTTAGAAACAAAATGACAATCCAGCGAAACATGCCTTTATAAATAGCAAAGGATATGACTAACGCGGAGATGCAAAGTTGGGAGCTCTATTCCTGACTCTTCAATAGATGGACTGTGTGACTTTGAGGCTCAACACGTGTGCTCATTTTCCCCATCACTGGAATGATAGTTATCTATTTTCTTTGATCCAGTCCTTCCTAGACTCTTTTTGGCTAGGTTCCTAACTTCTAGATTGTTTTAGATAACTTTTAGCTCCTTATTTTGAAGTTGGATACATCACATATGGAAAGATCAAAACGTAGAAATATTTTTTCACATAGAATAGTCATTTATATAAGATTTGTAATGAAATTGCTTAGTTACTTTGAAAAACTTAACTCTATGCATGATATTCAATTCTAGGGTTGCCAGGCGTCCGGTATTGGCCCAGACAGTCTGGTATTTGCGGCCTGGTTAAAAAACAACAACAGTTGCTCAACAACTTTGGTCCCGTTGTTTTTTTTCTCCACCAATTTTTTTTCCCGCCATGTTCAGTATTTTTTTTTAAGTGTCTGGCAACCCTATTCAATTCTAGCATTGGAATCCCTGATTATTTTACTGTTGCTTGTGGTGTCCATTCTAACAGAGTCAACATTCAAGCTAAAATTATTTATTTTTAAAGACTAAACTTGTCATAACAGTACCCAATTGGCAACTAAAGAGGAATCAGTGTATGTTAGCAGTTTTACTGCTAGCTCTCCAGGGTGATGTTATAGGCACATTTGTAAGCTCTTAAGGCTGCTGCCCTGTCTGTAAGAACTCGGAGAAAAACAAATATGTGGCATACCAGTGTTTGGAATATCTTCATAAACCTGAATTTCAGAACTGTGTTTATATTGGTTTTTATTTTATTTTAAAAAAAATCTGCGTCTAGGAGACATTTCAACATCCTTAATAATCCTGTTACAAAGCACTCATGTCTCTCCTGTCCTATTCAACCTATAAAGTATTGTGCTGTTAATGTATCAGGCATTTTAACTTGAAATAAAGGAATAATGGCTCTATAACAGCATGGGCATTCAAATAATTATGTATTCTGTATGTGGAATATAGGCATTTTATTGTATGTATGCATTATTTTTGTGTCCACTGTATATGCTTAGTATATTTTTTATGGATTTCAGAGATCAGAATTCCATTAATCTTTTGTTATGGAATTATGGGATGATTCTTTCTGTACTAGAGTTTTCTGGAAGCTGCTATATTATAAAATAAAACCAAGATGATCTTTACACTGTTACCTCTAAATAGAACAAAAGAATCACTCTGAATAGGGAGTTCCTAATCCATGCTGTATAGCTTGACTTCAATTTTTCCCCCTTACCTAAACTTGAGATCTTTCCAGTTAAGTGCGTGAATGTTAGGTCCAATGTATGTTATGACAGCAACATGATTTTAATTAATTAGTATGTGATCCCAACGAGTGCTCTCTTTCATTTTAGATAAATACCAGCATAAAATTTACTGCTGAGGAACTCTATGAGTGTGTTTCACAGAAAGCATATAGGTAAGTCAGTTATTGATTAAATTTACAGGATTTCTTGAAATAGTTGTAGTACTATACTTTTTCTTTATGGTACTTGGTTATTTTATCTTAAAAAAATCTCCACTATTCCCTTACTATATAAAATAGTAGTTAGGATTTATTGAGGGAGCTGACGTGTTATTTGCTTCCAACTTAACTGTTTAAGGGAGACGCTGAGCAAAGCAGAGCAAAGCCGCGGAGCCCGAGGGCAGCAGGACAGCCACGGCGCGTCTGGGCTGTCCCGCTGCCCCCGTACTCCGGGGCTTTGCTCCGGACGCCTGTGGTACAGCAGCTGGGGCGCTGTCAGTTGGTCCCGTAGCGCCGCTCTGGGCGCTACTGGACCAACCCGGCAGCACCC